CACGTGTTAATCGTTTCAGCTGACTGTATTTGCATTTCAGATTTCACACAAACGTTTCGTTCGACTAAGACCAGTTCCCGAGCCGCGATCCACAGAGGCTGGGGCCACAGCTGCCCCGTTGCGCTCCGGTGGGGCCAGGTCCCAGCGGGAGCCGGGCGCAGCCTCTCCGGGCTGGTGCGGCGCCGCCCCGGGTGTCTGTCCTCTGTATCATAGGTGCGGCAAGGGCTCGCCGACTTCCCGACAGACAGAGCCAGCGTAGCAGAGACCAGAGAGAGAGTTTCCTGGGCACTAAGGTTTTTGCCACTTTGAAGAAGGTATCGAATCTTTTGCCAAACTGGCGACGCTGGTAAGCCGCGTGGGACTTCCTGCCTCGCGGAGACGTGCGCGGGGCTGGCTCCGCGCGGGCACCTGCAGCCAGGCCCGAGCTCTGGTTTGGGAGGAGCAGGAGGCCGGGGCTGGGGCAGAGCCGTGATCGCCGAGGACCAGGCCAGGGTGACGGTCCCTGGGGTGGTTTAAAAGAAGGGACTGGTGGCGGCTGGGCAAGGACGGGGAGAAGGGGCGGCGGGCGCTGGGCCGGAGCCCGAGCGCAGGGCCTGTGCAGCCACGTGCTGGGGACGGCTGCGGGGGCACGCTTGCTTGCGACTCATCAGCCCAAGTTCAAGGCGTCGCACACAGGAGCGTCTCTGCCCGTCCATCGTCTGCAGGCCCTCTCCGAGGAAAGAGCAGGTGCTGCTGTGAACCCTTCTCCTACCCCTGGCAAAGCTGGGAGAGGAAGGGAAACTATTCCAAAGATGCACTTTGGTTTAACAAAACGGGCAGCTTCACCTGGGAGATGGACTAAAAGACCCCCCCCCAAACAGGGTGGGTTGTTTTTGTTCCCTTGAAACCCATGGTAACTTAAAACTGAGATTCATCTAAGTTGATGCAATAAATAGGTAGACTGATTTGAAATTGAGAGAGAGAGAAAAAAATAGTAAAAGAAAAAAAAGCCTCAGTGAAATTCTCTTTCCAACTTGACTACAGCCTGATTCTTCACAGATCAACAGGAGTCTCCAAAATCAGCTGCAGCAGCCCTCTGCTCACTGGGCTTGGTTAATAAAGCACTAAATCACTTAGCCTTTGGCATATGGTTAAGACAACAAAACAATACAGAGCACAAAGAGACGTCTACTCCTAACATTGTTTTTCATACTGCCAAAAAAAGTGTAGAAAGTAGCCATCAGTGTGGGTCCACAGAGCAGTGCAGTGAGACCTTGTCACAACACCGGAGAGATGGGGAGGGGGAGAGAGAGACGGAGGGAGGGAGGGAGGGAGAAGGGGAGACAGAGACAGACAGCGAGCGACCTCCCACAATCCAACATCGTCTCATCTGCTCTGCAGACGGGTCTGGGAAGTCCTGCTGACGGATGAGTTTCTTGGGATCTGTCGTAACTGGGGATGACGGTGGATCTCTCTCTCAGCCAGTGACACCGGGTGAACAGGAGGGTCTAACCCTCTCGGACGCTGACCCGGGGCTCTGCCAGCGAGCTGTGGATGATCCCGACAACAGTCTCAATGCCGTCTGCCTCCAGGAAGGTGCGGTGATCTCCTTCGATGACATGGACTGAGATTTTCCCATCACAGACCTACACGTGGCAAAGGTAAAAGAAAGAGCATGGGCCACCTAGAACTGCAGTGTATTTTAGTTCCCCACTTGTTGCCTCTTAGCCAGAAGACATGAGAGTCTCCCAGCTGAAGGAGGAACAAGCGTGAAGCTTTCTTGCTCCTATAAACATCTGTTTCCGCTCCAGGTCCCTTTAGTTCCGAGCAAAAATCAGCAGCAGGCTCAGGGGCAGGAGCCGGGCCATAAGGCTTCCTGCCTTCAGCTCTGGTGCAGACAGCCGCTTTCCTCCCCGCTGCCCCAAGGAATGAGCTGATGCCGTTAGGCACTGGGGTCCGTCCTCAACATTCACGAAGCTGTGGCTGCCCCCCTCCCCTCCCACACGCCCCTCTACTTCCTTACGTGCCTAGCACCATTCTAGTGTGTGCAAGTCGGGCTGTGGGGGGTGGCAGTGAAAAAGTCCTAAAGGGGCAGGAGACCTGCATCGTGGTCTTGGGGAAGAAAGGAGAAGGTTACTTCTAAAAAAAACCCGTTTTCTCCTATATGCTATAGAGCAAGTAAGTGGGCAAAAGGCAGAAAGCCATTTTGCTTTTTAACTTGTTTCAACTGACCCCTTCTCATCTCCAGGCTGTGCGCTTCAGCGCACGGATCTCTCCTCTTACCTGCCTGTAAACAAGTGCATTTTGGGGAGCTATTAGCAGTCACAGTGGAAATGGCTGCAGGCTGTTAGGAATCACCTAGACCTGGGCCAGACCGCCTAAGCCTTCACGTCCTGTGGGACCGAGAGCAGCCTCCTGTTCGTGGTTTGGAGGTGCTTTTCAGCTCTCAGCAAGACAGAGCTGCGCAAGCATTTCCGTCTCTGGAAGATTTGTTCCCTTGTACAAGGAATGCAACTTCTGGCTGCTTCTACCTGTTCTCCCTCCACAGCAGCCAGAGCTGCTCCTTAGACTGACCTCTGAGAGTTTGTAATCTCCACCCAGGCCGTCTCCATAGTCATCGTTCATCTTGGTTCTCAGCAGCGTCACATTGCCATGGTACTTGAACTCTGGTACATACTTGTCGGCAGCCTTCAGTTTGTGGTAGAAGGAGGCAGCAGCAAAGCTGAGGGCCTCACGATTGAGGTCTCTGTGAATCCGAGCTATTAGGTCCACAGAAGCACTGACACGAGCATCGAAGTCTTGCAGGGGCAGCAGAGTCTCCAGCAACTGCAGAGAGCAAAGCAGCATTTGGTGGTAAAACAGTGAGCGGCATACAGCTGCTGACCAGAACTGGGATTTAAGAAGAGTCTCCCTGAAGCAACAGGAAGTCTGGAGGAACATTACCTTATTGTATTCGGTGCCTGTGAACTGCTGAACAAAGGCACGCATTGCTGCAGCCTCTGCCTCGGCCTCACTTCCCAGGGCCATCTTGGCTTTGTAGATCTGGAACAGAAAAAAGGGCCACAAGTGCCAGAGGGGAGCTCTGCCCTGCTCCCTAATCCATGACTCGGTAATAGAAAGCAACTGGCTGAGGAGCCAGAGACGCGTGGGAGAGGACAATCCAGAAGGGTGCAGAAAGAGGAGGTGGGGTGGAGCGCTGCTCTCCATGGAGACTTGGGATACATGTGCCCATCAGCTAGAAAGCACTGTCAGCAAAAGGGAGATCCTGGGGGAGCTGGGAGGCTCAGCCCGCTCCCACACTACAGTGTACAAGGCATCCACATTAGTGCTTTTGCCCCAACCTGCAGCTCCATGCACTGGCATGTGAAATGAAGTCACAGGGCAACCTCCAGCTCTCATCAGATGTTCCCTCAACCCAAGGGGTAGGGGTCTACTGTGGTTTTTAAATGTGGCATGAGTGTCTTGAGCAATGGGCTCCTTAAATGAAATGCTGCCCAGACAGCTTGGTCGCCAGGTAGAAGCCCCCCAGAATGGCTCACCTGAGTGTGCGCAGCCACGTAGGAGTGGGAGCCGTCGAACAGGAGGAGGCTGTTGGACCCCAGGGAGGGGTTCTGCTGCTGGGCTTGCAGCTGGGAGCACATCTCAAAGGCGACGCAGGCTCCAAAGGAGTATCCAGCAATGCGGTAGGGTCCCTCCGGCTGCACCTGCTTCATGCAGTCAATGTAGTAGGCTGCCAGGCTCTTTATGCTGTCCAAGGGAGCAGCTGAGAGAGAGGAGGAAGCAAAGCCGTGGGTCAGGAACAGGCTGGACACCGGATGCCAGGGGGATAAAGCTTCAGCAGATGCGCACAGCTTCTCCTGGGCAGAGGAAGAAAGCTGCGGGGCAGCCTGCGCTTCTGACCCCAAGCGAGTAGCCACGAGGCAACAAGAGCAGCAGACCTGCCCTCTCACAGGCCTGTCCCTCTGGACCAGGGCCTCTCTGCCCATGGACCCACCTCCACTCCCCTTCCATTCCCACTGGTGCAAGAACCTGCTCTTCACTCCCTAAGCATCTTGTCCCCCACTCGGGGAAGAATGGTTTCTGAAGCTCTCTGGTGGCCTTGGCTGGGGCACGGATGAGGCAGAGCTCAGAAACAAAGTCCCACGGATATGAAAGCCAGCCACACAGGGCCAAGGGTTGAACCGCAGATACCTCGTGTGCACTGGAGCCCGTAGCTGGGGATTCTGAGCCTGGAGGCCAGGGCCTGGAACACGGCAGCGGATCCCTCGATGGGGTGGATGAGGAATAGCGGGCGCTCCGTGCTTTGCACCTCGTTGAGTCGGGTGACGGTCGGCCCCTCGGGATTCAGCACCAGGTTGTTCAGGTTCAGT